CCTTTCCCTGATCCCCAACCTTTCCTTGATCCCCAACCTTTCCTGACACCCACGCTCTGCTGGCACTGAAACCCCTCATTTTCAGTGCCATCGGGGCCATTTCTGCACGCTCACACCCCAAACCCTTGAAGCAGCAGTACCGGAACCAGGACCCGGCTCTGTCCCCAGCGCTGCCCCGCCGGCTCCGGCCGTTCCCCGGTCCCGGGGCGGAGCCGTGCGGGGCAGGTGATGCCGGGGGCGGGGAGAGCCGCCTCCTTCTCTTCTTCCTCCTCCTCCTCCTTCTCTTCTTCCTCCTCCTCCTCCTTCTCTTCATCCTCCTCCTCCTCCTCCTCCTCCTCTTTTTCCTCCTCCTCCTTCTCTTCCTCCTCCTCCTCCTGCCGCGCTCTCCCCTCCCTCTCCTGCGCTCGGCGCGCCGGGGGAGGCTGCGAAGTTGGGCGTGTGCCGGGGAGTTTTTGGAGCGTGTTTGGGAGCGAGTTCGGGAGTTTTTGGAGCGGGGGCAGGAGCGGAGCATGGCTGAGCAGCCCGGAGCGCCCGGCCCGCGGCTGCAGCGCGGGGCTGCGGCGGGCGAGGCGCGGCGCTGAGCGAACCCCCGGACCCCGGGACCCCCGAACCCCGGGACCCCCGGACCCCCGGGACCCCCGAACCCGCCGGCATGGCCCGCTGGATCCCCACCAAGCGCGAGAAGTATGGGGTCGGTGAGTGAGTGCCAGCCGGGATGCCCCGGACCTTCTGCCCATCCCTTTCCCCCTTTTCCATGCTTCCCTCTGTTCCGCACCTTCTCTCCCACTCCGTCCCATCCCTTCTCGTCTGTCCCATCCCTGTCCCTCATTTTCCTTCTCTCCCTTCCCCTCCTTCACTCCATCCCTTCCCGCTCCGGGCATCCCTCTCCCGTTCCCGGGCTGCCGCTCCCGGAATTTCGGGGTGCACGGAGCCGGGGGTGCGCGTCCGCCGCTCTTCTCCAGGAACCCCTCAAAGTTCAGGACTGACTTTCCCAGTATGATTTACACTGAAAAAAAAAAAAAAAGCTCTAACGCAGCAGAAAAGAGTTTGCCTTCTGGTGTGGTGTGCCTGGAAGGAGATGTGGTTGGAAAAGGATAAAGAGAGTGTCATGGGCAAATTGAGGGCTCTGGGTGACGTCTTTGCCAGAGGCTGGAAATCTTGATTTAGGGTCAGGGATAGGGAAAGCTTGACTGGAAGTCTCCCAGGCCAGGTTGGACGGGGCTTGGAGCAACCTGGGACAGTGGAAGGTGCTCCTGCCCATGGCAGAAGTGAAACTGGAGGAGCTTTGGGGTCCTTCCAACCCAAAGCATTCCATGATTCCGTGAGTGACGCCTCGTACCTCCTGCTCTCTCCTTTATTTAAAAGGATTCTTCTGAGTGCTGGCTCATTTGTCTGTAACAGGAACAGAACCCTGTGGTGTTGCTGATACAATTCCGCTCTGCTTGAGAGTTTAAACCCACAGTTTTGAGGTTGGTGGTGAGAACTGGGCAGGGAACATTTGGCAGGAAGCCACTTATGACACAGAGAGCTTTTGATAACTTATTTTACTAAGAGCGATCTTCTGTGCCGCCGGTGTTTAGCAGTGGACTTCTCAACGTGAGAAAAAAAATAACTAATTTTGTGCTTGCAAAGTGCTCGTTGCCCCAGCTCCCATGAGGGTGTTCAGCCTGTGAGTTTGAAGGTGAAAAACCTCACCCTGGGTGATTTTCACAGTGACTTCGAGCCGGGTGACAGAGTGGCTGTGCAGGGAGGCAGCTCAGCTCCTCAGGAGCTGCAGGGACATTTCACAGCCTTATCTGGTTTCTCCAGGTAACTGGCAGGGTGTGGAGTGCTGACACCCTGAACTTTGCTTCTTGCTGTTTCTCCATGGAAGCGTGGACATGGCCTGCTGAGATTGCTGCGGGCGTCCGTCATTCCCAGACTTCGGTGGATGATCAGATAACCCCATATCCTGCCGGGGTGATTGCCTGTGCTGCTGCTCTCTGAGCACACCTCAGGATGGCCTTGGGCAGCAGATGAATCAGAGGCACTCCTCTGACTTCCCTTTTATTTATTACCTTCCGGGGTGAGTTTTCCATGCTGGCCTCAGCTCCTTGTGACAGCTCCTCTCCCAGAAAAAGGCCTGGAATAAGCAGGGTGAAGGGAAAAAATGCCTCTTCTGCATCTTTCCACCCAAAAAGCATGTGGTGGGATGTACCACGGGTGATCACCTGGGTGAAAAGGTGTTTTTTTCCCCCAGGTGACATGGGGGATGTCCTGCTGCAGCTCTGGGGTTTAATTCGTTGCCAGGACCAATGAAGTTGATCCAAAGGAATTGACAGAATTATTCAGGCACCGCCTGGCTCTGTCGGGAAGTGTTTGGCTCACTTGTGTTGTACTTGTGTCAATTTGGTGTTTGCGGACTCGATGAGTTTCTTATCTGCAAGTGTGTCCCGTGCTGTGCTCCAGGGCCCAGCTCTCCCTGGTTTGGGGTTATTTTGGAGGGGTTGAAGAGGACTGAGAGGGAGATTTGGGATTTTGGGCTGGGGCTGTACCAGTGGTGAAGTGGCTGCAAGGAGGGGAATGCCCCGGGTTGTGTGGGGTGGTGACAAACCCCAGCCAGGGAGCTGTGAAGAGCAAAGACACTGCTTTTGTTCAGAATAAAGAAAAGAAAAGATTGTGTATATGCATCTCACCAATGCACATAAACATCTCCAAAGGCTGCCAGGATGGTGCCAGACCCTTCCCAGTCATGGCCATAAAATAAAACACAAGTCCCACCTCACCATGAGGAAAATCTTTTCCCATGGAGGTGGCAGAGCCCTGGAGCAGCTCCAGTGAGGGTCTGGAATGTCCCTCTCTGGTGACATCCCAAACCCACCTGGATGAATCCTGTGCTCCAGCTGACCCTGCAGGGCAGGGGCTGGGACTGGGTGAACTCCAGAGGTCCCTTCCACCCTTAAATAGTCTGGGATTCTGCAAAAGGTTCTTTCCCAAATTTTCCCTGAACCAGGACACCCTGATTCTGGCGTTCTCCTGGTGTTCACCCTGCTCTGGTGTAGCTGCTGGTGGTCTTTGCTTCGGACACTTCTGTAGAACTCCTTGGATTTATTTAAAACACGACCCTGGAAGGCATGGCAGTGAAGTGGGGAATTCCAGGGAGTCAGCCGTGTGATTCAGTGTCACTTGTCTGCTTTCTGTACCCTTCAGGAGGGTTTCTGTGCTGGGCTGTATTTTACAGATCCCTGCACTGCGAGTTCCAGGGGGTTTGCTGCGTTGTAGCTCTGTCCTGAACTGGTTAAAGCTGGGGAGGGCTCCCTTGGCAGAGGGCTGAGTTTGGAGTGGCAGCAGCAGCGAGGGCAAAACTGGGAATTGCAGTGTTTTTAGGGAAGCAAACGTGAGAGACAAGCAGCTTGCAGCTTCTCCCTCGCAGTGAATTGCCAACCAAGAGACAGATGGGATTTGGGGATGGATCAGCTCACAGGCAGCATCTCCTCGCTGAGCAGCAGGCTTTGCTGGCTCTGACAGAGCCTCCTTGCCACAGGCTGAAAGAGCATCTTCTTGGGAAGCTGATCAGTTTTTGAGCCACACTGAACAAAATAACCTGTTCTGGTCATGTGTTTCTCTCAAAAAGGAGTTGTCATTTGCAGAAATCCTTTCACAAAGACTCTTTCCAGTCAAAGAACTCTGCTCTGAGGGAAAGAACACCTTAGTGAATTCCCCAGGCTTTTAACTTTCCTTATCTATTTGGTTTAAAATTATTAACTTAGAGCATAAGGAACCAATAATGTAATTACTTTCTTTTTCTGCTGGCAGTAACCTGCATTTGCACGGCCTTTTACTCGAGTGCTACACCTGGGTTGTAAAAGCAATTCTGGCATTGCTCATCAGCTGTTCTTCACTTCGTGGACTGGAAACTGTTAATGGAGTGAGAGAACCTGGAGTCTGTGGAATCCTGAATTGATCTGTAATAAATCCATGATAAACAAGCAGGCAGCTCCCTTTTCCTGACCCCTTTCTGCTGGAGTGGCAGTGCTGCCTTTGGGGTTTCCAGGTGTCTGCAGAGATGATGGATCAGGCACACCAGCTTCTGGTGGCTCCTCTGACTGTGAACCAACAGGATGTGAAGTGTTTATTCATCCTTGTGGCAGCCTGAGCTGAAAATGCACCGATTGTTTGGTGAATACACAAATCTGAGCTTCCAGAATCAGGAAATAATTACTTGGGTTTGGTTAGAAATGCTCTGAGGGGTGAAAACCAGCATAATTGTGGTGAAGGTGGTGGCTTGCACCTGGATGCGCTGGGAGGGCTGGGGGGATTCCATTGTCCTGAGGGAAGAGCTGGAGCTGTGCCAGGGGATTTTTAAGTTGGATTTTGGGAAAGGCTCTTCCCCCAGAGGGTGCTGGGCACCCCGTGAGGCTGTCACAGCTCCAGGAGAGTTTGGACAGCGCTGCCAGGGATGCCCAGGGTGGGATTGTTCAGGTGTCTGGGTTTGGATCAGCGATCCCAGTGGGTCCTTTCCAGCTCAGGACATTCCATGATTCCTTGACCCTCGTTTTTGGGGCAGTGTGGCTGTTCCACAGAGTTCATGTGCTGGGACTGGGGAGGGACCTGGGATTAGCCCTGCCAGGTTTTGGTGGCCTCTCACACCCGTGGCACCTGTCCTGGCTGGCAGGAGCAGAGCATTGGGCTGCTTTATTTGAAAATAAGTGTTGAAGTCTTTCCTTTGTCAGATCCCACTGGTGGCTGGCTCAGGAATGGCTCAGGAATGGC